CATTTATGAAAAAATATCGTTTTTTATTATTTTTATTATTTATATTTCGAATTTTGTTAGGGTTTTACTATTTAAAGTATTGTAAGCTCTTTGAGGCGAATTCGTGAGTTTTATTTTATATTTGTAAGGTTGTTCATATTTCCTATAATCTTCTTCTACGTCCATGTCGAACCTCAGGCTTAAATGTGTTTTGGTTATTTTGATACGCTATCGAATCTTATTCTTTTGGATATAAGAGGCTTTCAGTTGGAATGAGAATATTAGGTAGCAACCTACCTAAAATTTTTAACTTCTTTCAGTTTCTTTAACCTAGATCAAACAAACATGGTATTGGCTTTCATATATGTATCATTAACGTGCACATCACATCACATCACATGAGGGGCGGAACCAAAAATATTGTTCAATACAGACACAATTTGATCAACGCCAAAATTTGAGTTTTTGGCCATGATGATAAAAATGAAATAAGCAGTATTAAGCATTTGTTTTTAGACAATTGTAGAAATAAAGCCACCAATCAATACATCACAAATTTTCATGAGTAATAACTCTCTAGTGGGATTCAAATGATTCACAAAATCACCTTACTATGAAACTCTCTGCTTGAATTATTTTCAACTTTTAACTAAAGTAACGAAGGAAAATACTTTTTGTACATAACTATTTACACAATGATGAAGTATCATATGTAAGTCGAAAATTTATTTGATTGATGAGATTTTGATCCAATTAAATCTTGCCACATCATCCATTTGTAAATAATTATATACATGTAGCACAACTCAGTAAAAAAACCTCTTTGACTTACCGATATTTAATCGTTTTCACCAAACTTATATGCTTAACATAATCATTCAGCAATTTCTCGTTAATTTCTTTACTTCTGCATTAGCTAGATCAATTTCCTGCTTCAGGTGCCAAACTATAGCTCATAAAATCAATCTACAATTCCTCTTTCTTATTTTTCTTCTCTACTTTCCATTGATCTTATGGCCAAAAATTCAATACAAAAAGACCCATACAAATAGAAAATATGAACATTTAGTATGCTGAAAAGTATGAACCCATATCAAGAGTCCCAACAAAAGAATATTGAAAATAAAAAAAAAAGGCAGATCTTTTTTTCCTAATTTGTGGAGCCCAAAAATTTCACAGAATAGAATTTAATTTAATTCTTCTAGGTGCTATATTTTATATTTTGAAAAAAAAAAAAGGAGATTAAAGGGATATATGTATTAATTCAATTTTATTTGGCCAAATATTTAGATTTCGATAGAGCAATGATAAATATATCAATATTGAGCTCCTTAGATAGCTCGTAATTAATCATGTATACTAAACTCGAAAAAAAAAAGTTAATTTGAATAAGTTAGATTCAAGGTGTTGCGGTTCAAACAAGTTGTTAATAATTAGAAATTTATTTTTGTATATTGATTTTCAAGACAAGCACATGTGTATTTGTTATATAAATATAAAACCATTTTTTTTTATTTGAATAAAAATGGTACTTCAATTGAAAGGCTAGTTGATTTGAAATTACATGTCCCACTTTCAATAAGAAACTTTTTGCTTACCCAATTCTTATCCAATCTTTTGTAGTGCACTGATAAGTGTAGTCTATATATTTATTCGTGATCCTAAATCATGATA